ACCTAGCTCAGCTGGACTGTCTCTTGAACTGTTGCGTTCGTAGTTCATTGCAGCACCAGGAGACCGCTCCATCCTGGCCGGTGTCCAGCCAGGCGTTGCCGCTCGCTCGTGTCCTACTTGTTTCATCTTGTTTCTAGACGTGACTGTACTCAGACCAGCGTTCCCAAAGGGCTGCCTATTGAATAATTGGAGACTATAGGGATGCCCCATGACCCACTCACTGCAATTTCGGGCATTTTTCATGGGTATCTTGCCATCTCACAGCGTTGGGCCACGTTGGGGTGGGTGTGAGGGCGGGGCGATGTGTGGTGGTTGGATGTTTCTATTTACAGCCTTCGGCATGCCGCCGGCCATCAGCTCGAGCCCGCACGGCTGGTCGCCATGGCCCGGGCGTGTGTAGCTGTGTGTAGCTATTGTGTTTTTTGTGTGCAGGTTATGCAAAGGTTAGCTAACAGAGTGTACGATATCAAAGTGCGTGAAAACAAGGGGTTTGTGCGCGACGTGACTTGGAACATGCACGCTGGCTGGAGATGTTTGTGTCAATGAGATGCGGCGTCAAAACGAAGTAGTGTAAGAGCCATGTAAGTGGAGAGCAACTGGCCAAAAACAAAAGCTGCGCTGGTGTAAAAGCGAGTGGGCAGCGAACAGTACTTGCAGAGAGTGCGTGTGTAACACAGAGCTTCTGCAAAAGCGACATGTAAGCGAAAAAAAGTAGCGAGGAAATGGTTGCAAGGGGCTTGTGCGCGACATGACTTGGAAGGTGCACAGGTTGCGGTGTCAGAACGAAGTCGTGTAAGAGCCATTGCCTAGAATAATAACGCCGTGACAGTGTAAGCGATATAGAACCCAATAGGCAGCGAGCTCCCGCAAAACGCGTGGAAAAAACCAAGGTTTTTATACGTTTTTCTACACACGCGCGACTGTGCGCCAATGCATGGCCTGCTTGAAAAAGACGAAGAGGGGGAAGAGAAGAGAAGGAGAACGAGAACGAAAAGAGAAGAGAAGCGAAGACAAGAGACGAGACAAGGCGACAAGACAAGACAAGGCGAGAGGGGGGTAGGAGCGCCTCAACATTAAAAGACGAAAAATGAGTTGGGAAGATG